CCCTTCCCCTTAAAGAAAGAAAAGAAAAGATAAGATATGGAATGGGAATGAAACCCTTCAAAGGCAGTTTTTCATGCAAAAGCAAAAACAAAACAAAAAATAAATAAATGTAAATAATGATAATCATAATCATAATAACTAGACCTCCTCCTTCGATTTAATCCAGTCCTTAAGCACGTGAAAGTAAATAACTAAAGCGATAATTAGCAATAGTGGAAAATATTTTAAATTGGTGTATACATTCATAAAGTCTGTGAGAGCTTATTTCTCTCTGTGTGCATGAAATAAATTTCTACTGAATCCCGCATTTAAATTGTGCCATAAAAACAGCATGAGAGCAGCAAACGATGGTAATTCATCTAAAAACATTTGATGCATGCAGAAAGCGCCGAAAACCTGCCGTTTCATAATTATCCCCCCCTGTTAAAGCTCGCTAAATTCATTACAAGTTTGCTGCAAGAACAGAAGAAAATCTCATATATTTTTTTCTACGTCCATTCCGTTCTTAAATCAAAAATAGCTTTAAAATATGTCAAAGCAAACTTACATTTCTGTTGAAAAATCCGCACATTTTTGTTTGTAAAATGACTTAGCCAATGTGGATAAAAAAAAAATATTAAAAATAACAATAATAATAATAACCCGACGAAACCGAGCAGAAGACCTCGTGAAAACACAAACGGGTCAAAAAGGAAAATGTCCACAAAAAGCGTAGAAAATGTTGAAAGAAGCACTTGGTTCCTTATTAAGGCGAAGATACAATATTTATTCCGTGTCTCCTGGGATGCTCCGCTCCGTCTATTGTCCTCCCATTCCTCAGTGCTGATGCTTAATTTTCAAAACTTCTATATTACCAAGGGACCTACGACATCAGCCGAGAAATACCCTGCAAGTACAAAATCCGTGAGCCAGCCCCGTCCGTGCAGAGGGGAGACGCTCGCGTTCCGCCAGCTTTCTACCGTTACCGAGAGCACGCGAGGGGGGACTTTTCCATTTCTCTCGCTTTTTGGGGATTTTAAGGCATTTTTATTATTATTCGATCCGGCCAGAAAGGAGAGGAAAAAAATACGGGTTACTTTGGAGAAAGCACAATGTCAGCGACCTTCCCCGGACTTGTCCACGACGCAGAGGTAAGGCTCGTTTATTTACTTTACAGATTTTAATTTGTGAAATTACAGCAGGTGTGTGGTGGAATAAGTACTGTTTGGTTTGAAGGGAGTTACAGAAGCATTTCGAGATAGCGTCTGCTCTCAGGGAGTCTCTAAGTGGAATATAATTTATCGCAAGGATATTAAAGAGATAAAAGTATGCATGGAAGGAGAAATGAATCGGTGCAGCTCCCGGTAAAAACGAGGCTTTTTTTTATTACTAGTGTGTGGAAGCAAAGGGGGCTCGTGTGTGTGAGCCGGTAACGGCGTGATTAGGACATTTTAGGGCGGAACACTCCGCTGTGTCTCACTCTGCTTACCTCCCATCCACAATGAGCGAGAGAGCTGGGACAGTAAATTTGCCAGCAGCTCGGTAATAATAATAATATATAACAGCACGCCTTTTAAAACGCTGCGAGGAGAGTGACAGGCATGCCAAAGGGAGGAAGAAAAAAATACCGATGGCTCCTGTTGCCGCGCGTTCGTTCCCCTCCCGGGCGTGTGGAAATGACATCTCCTTCAGGTGGTTTAAAGTGGGGGGGAAAAAGCGCTTTGAGTGTGTGAGTTGTGTTTTTGAGTGTGTTTGGGAGGCAGAGAGAGGAGACACCGGCTGATGCTAAATGACACGGCTCATATATTTCCCCGTCTCTTTATTATCTTGTAGATACGTCACGACGGATCAAACAGCTACCGGCTCATGCAGCTCGGCTGCCTGGAGTCCGTGGCCAACTCCTCGGTCGCCTACTCCTCCTCCTCCCCGCTCACCTACCCGGCACCGGCGGGGACGGAGTTTGCCTCACCCTATTTCTCGGCCAACCACCAGTACACGCCCCTCCACCACCAGTCCTTCCACTACGAGTTCCAGCATTCCCACCCGGCCGTGGCCCCGGAGGCCTACGGCCTGAACTCGCTGCACTCGGGCCAGTACTACCAGCAGATCCACCACGGAGAGCCCGCCGACTTCATCAATCTGCACAACGCGCGCTCGGCCCTCAAGTCCTCGTGCCTGGACGAGCAGCAGCGGCGCGAGCTGGGCTGCCTCGACGCTTACCGGCGCCATGACCTGTCGCTGATGACGTCACACGGCTCACAGGCCTACGGAGTCGGTATGCACCACCCGGACCAGAGGCTGCTGCCCGCCGCCGGCCTGGGCCTCCCTCCGCCTGCGGCGGACGACCTGCAGGTACCGGTGGCCTCCATACCTCTCTTTCTACACTCTCTTCTCCACACGGCTCGAACACGTTATTGTGCCCCCTTCCTTCGGCTTCGCTTCTCCGGTTTATTAAGTCTGCTCCATATAGGATAGCCGACAATAGGATACAGAAGGGCAACAGCCCCTCTTAGCTGTCACAAGACCCAGTGCCCCAGTATCTCTGCCCCACTGGCCTACTATTGAAAAACTTTACCCCCCTTTTGTAGCACAGCAATCCCAAAATATTGAACAGAAAGACAGCGCCAGATGTCTGTCTGTCTGCCTGTCTGCCTCATCTGTCTGTTGTCTATGACACTCACAAAGCTGCACTGGTCTGTAGTTATCCCCATCCAACGACTCTGTCCTACTTTCTTTTTTTTTTGTAAGTCATAATGGATATCATCTTGAGATAAGTTTGGTGCCAAAGCAAACGTGACTATAACAGGCTAAGTAAATGTCAAGTCCACACGGCACAGTGCCTCTGAAAAGCAAGCCTGTTTCTAAAGGTTAATTGACTGGCAGTCTATACAATCCCATTGTGAAATCCGCCCTTTATTTTTCCACAAACACACGTGACCCATATTTTACATAATTCTTTTCGATGTAAAGAAATGGTCGAGATGAAAATGGATTCGCACGGTTCTTGAGCGTGTGTGTGTGTGTGACAGAGAGAGAGAAAGAGAGAGAGAGAGGTCGAGTGTGTGTGTGTGTCCGGCTGTCTGTTGAGGCAAAGAAAAGCCGCTGGTTGCTCTATTCTCCGGTAAAGGGCGGATTAACGGATCGGGATTCAGGGCACAATGGCCTGCTCGAGCACCATAAAGCACCGTAGTTTATCCAATTACCGACTTAACGTCAATCAACTTTGTTACTTATGCAGCGACATCTGAGCTGCTTCAAACGCGGCTCTAGTTAAACACAATTTAACACAGTGGCACATAATTTCAGTCGCGTTAACTATTTACCACCTCTACTCGAGCTTTTATCGACTCATTTACGAGGTATATTTAGGCATACAGTGTTTTTTTTAGTGCCACAATATTTAGAAAGCATGTAATTTTAAGGAATAAAAATATAAAATGTTATATATTTTTTAATATATTTATAGATGTATAAATGTATATTTGTTAATAAATAATATGGGGTGTGGCAATATAACCCAGGGATTATTCTAAGTCTTCAAATAGGATCTTATAGATATACATTTATAGTGCAGCCTGTTTTTTTTTAAATATTTTTTAAATAAAGACTTCTACATATGATTTAATACATTTTAATTTACTGATAATTGCAACATATTTTTGCTTAACATTTTTCATATTTTATTTTATTTATTTTATTTCATTTTATGCACGCTCGTTAATGCAAATATTAGATTTATTTCGAGATTTTTTTTAAAGGCTTAACAGGTTTGACCATTTTTTTACGCTAAGAAAGAAACGGCTCGTGAACCTGAGCTTACACGAGGCGGATGTATGGACGGAACAGATGCGCCTATGGTCTCGTGCAGCCCGGTCGCATCTTTGAGCGGGTTAAAGAGATTTTCATGCTCAACAAAAGCAGCTGCCACACCTTTCTACCGTCACTAAGCTAATTCATGCAAGACCTCTGCGTTTTGTATATTGATTTTATAATCACTTTAGCTTCGGAATAGAAGAAAAGAAACAGAGCAGGAGCTGGTTAAGAAGGAGCAACAACAAGCTCTCTTTCCCAGTTAATTTTAATCGGGGGCTTCTGCGTGGGCCAGGCCTAGAGGCTCACGCGGGGGGATTAAGCATTTTCTGAATAAAAAAGCGCGTGTTCTCCTTTCTTGATGACATTGTTGATAGCACGCGAGTCTGATCTGCATCTTGAAAAATGGCGGAGGTAACAGGTTTTCGTGCACGTAGGCCTACATATATGTTGAAGCCTGGTTGCTTATGTGTACACAGACACTGATGCCCCAACAGGTTGGTGGTGGCTGCAGTAAATTCTGCAAACCTTTTGCTCATTTTTGAGTCTGCGTGAGTTGTGCTGTCCTCGGTTATAGCCTGGAGCCTTTCAAATTAAGCTCGTTTCTGGGTAAGCCGTGAGCTGCATGCTTTATTTCGCTGTGCCCTCAATTTTACTCAAAGCCTGCTAAGTGATGTACACTTTCTAACAAAAAGGCTTCCAACACTAGAAAACTGCTCAAAGGGCGTGCAACAGGGGCCAGTGTTTGGACTCAGTAAGGTGCTTTTTTCCCCTCCCAAGCTCTTTCTGCTGTGAACTTTGCGGTGCTTTGAAGGAGTTTTAATTGTATAGATGTGGTGGTTTTCAACCTGTGGGTCACGGCATTCCAAAGAGGTCAGAGGATAAATCTGCAGGGCCCTAATATGGAAGAATTAAAGACACCTGGAAACCTTCAAAATTCATTTAAAAGGGGCGAGTCATTTAAAACTACAAGAATGCATCATTTTTATCCATTATAGGATTGAGGCACTGATCTATGTCTGCACGGGCACAGAGAAGCTTTATGGTGTTACTTTCAAACCTGACATTTCACTTAGATTTGTATTCTTTGTTTGCATTGTATATGGATCTTGAATATACATAAAACCGAGCAACATATGCCCAGTGTTTGTTGTCACAGTTTTATTTATTCTGATATACTCCCGTGACTGCATGAGTTTGGCTTTTAGTGTGTGGCTGCAAGTGAAAAGAAGGGGAAAATGGGGATTCACGTCCTGGATGTCCTAAAGAATGACTTCACCGCATACGGAGAAAAAAAAGAAACAAACCGCACTAATTGTTGCTGCATCTGAAGCCTGGCAGCTGGGAAGCTCCAGCGGTGTACAAAAAGAATCTGGTTAAAGTGATTTCACCTCCCCGCTCGTCCTAATGAGTGCGTGTCTCCGCAGGGCTCCGTGGAAGCGCAGTGTGGGCTCGTGCTGAACGGCCAAGGGGGCGTCATCCGGAGAGGTAAGGCCCCCGTTTATTCTCTGCTGCGGTTGTTGTTATTGTTGCTGCTGCTGCTGTACCGGAGGCCGTGAACACTCACGGGCTCGACACGACAAGACAGCGAGCAGACAGACAAACAGGCGGAACACTCCTCTCTTGTCTGCTGTCAACACGCTGCAGCAGGAACGGCCCCGATTTGTCACCTATTTAAACAGCAGCGCCGTACAGGCGCAGAGGCAGTGCTCCCCACTTCCAGAATGTCACTCAACACCCACGTTTTTTTAAACACCAGTCATACCAAACCTTGGCTTTGAGATTGGCGACATGATTAAAATGCCACGAATTAATGTGATGACTTATATTTCTAGTGTACTGATACAGTTACTTATAGGCCTTGTACTTAAACGCGCATTTGACACATGCCCTCTCACACTAAAGTTACGCCAGAAGCTTTTATTTTGAAGTCAGACGTGTGGGTAATATTTTATAAGACTGACGGCGTGCGTTTGTTTTCATGTAATAATAATATTATATGCTATTAATTTAATATTCATGGTTGAGTTATCATAAATTCAGTGTCGATTTTTGTTAAAGAAAAATGGCGCAGACGTCTATATGAAAGCAGATTTAAATAATCAATATTATTACAATAGAGAAATATTGTTACAAATGAGTAAGATTTGGGTTTAATTTAACAACACAATTCTGTATCCTCTTAATGTTTACAAATGTGTACGTTTATAGTAATTTGAAAATATTTTTGAAATGGCCAGAAAGTAACCTAGTATTTAATAGTTTCGCAGCTGCATTTGTGGACTTTTTTAAAAAAAAATTAAAAGTAAATGTTTTTGTGGGATACAAAGAAGAGCAGTCAGGTTTGTGTGTCTGTAATGCAGCTGCTGTTTTTATGTGTTAGCACCTGTGTGTTTAATCTGGCACAGCAACCAAAGATGTGGCGGCTAAGGTTAGCTTTTCCAAGGGGAAGCTGTGGATGTGTTCCCCGGCCTGCATCCACCCAAAGCAGGCCAGCCAATTTCCTCATGAGTGGGTTTAAACACGCTGTGGATCTTTTGCTCCATGAAAAGCATTTTTTTTCTTTAATTTTTTTTAGAGGGGACTGTGTGCAATTTTCCACACTGAGAGGAAAGGCTGTGTCTCGGGTTTAATTTTTCATCAGCTCTGCCTAGGTGTTGGGGCTTTTCTCTCGGATTGACGCGGGAATCCCTTCGCTATCACTTTCGGTTAATGGTGCGCCGTATTTGGCCCTGAGCTCAGCCGCTGCAACCATCACAACCAATAATCTTTGCTTTACCTCCCGCTCCCGTATCGATAGCTTCTCTCGCCTCGGGCGGACGCTTTGATATGCTAATGCCGAGCGGGGCCCCGGATTCAGCCGAGATCATATTAATGTTGTTCTTTCTGACTGCGGCTTTGGCGGCATGAATATTCACATAACCTTTTTCAAAAGAAAATCACTCAAGAAATGCGGATCCTACTTAGGAGGAGTCGTCTGTGTTTTTAATCACCCTGCTATCCCTTTTCCAGTTCAGTTCTAACAGCAGCTTCACAGATCAAGCCGATCTGTCAGACGCGCGCCCCCGCTACCACATCCCGTGCACGCACAACCCTCTCTTCTGTCAAGACATTGGCGGGCTTTTTTGGGGGGAGCTATAAACATTGTTGTTAAAATATGAGGAGAATGGCATTTGGCCCTTGTCTCTTTTTCTTTAATTTTCGTGGCAAACTCGTAAAAGGCGCTTGATTCCGCGTGTGATCCCGCCCGCCGCTCGCGCCGCAGCCCGAGGCTACTCTCCGTTGCTTAAATACCGTTATCGCCTCTGGGCCCGCGCGCTCCACTGACTGCACTACCGGCAATAGCTCTTTTCGATTGCCCTTGGCAACATAAAATACAAACTACTTTGAATCAAAACATTTTTAGGGGAATTAATATGATGTGAACCCGCGGCTTTCAGAGACGCGCGCCCCTGTCAGAGCGCGTGAGTCTGACAGACAGGTTTGCCCGGTTTGTGTCACTTATGGAGACACGGGCAAGCCGGACCGCGCGCGCGCATATAAACACACGCGCACGCACACACCGGGGCTCAGGCTTAACCAAAAGTATCAATCGATTCCCTCGACCTGCAACCGTCCATTTTTTGACAGCCTGAGTGAAACACAGGTCCCATACAGTCTTGTACAAAGTGGTGCCCGCTGGAGTACAACAGGCTTTTGTTTCCACACCATTATGATGTTACAGTTGTGCTGTGGGCATGAGTCGCTGTCCAGGTGCTGGAATGAAAGGTGCTAGCCGCTGTCCATGGTGTTCAGACCGGATGACATGTTTTTGAGGCTGCATGTCTAACCTCAACCCTTCCTGTGGCCAGAAAATGATGCGAATCTAGCACATTTCAGCAGATTGTGAATAATAGATTCTGAGAGCAGAAATATGGGTTACAGCTGGTCATATATGAGGCTTAGTTGGTGGCCAAATTGTGCCCTAAAAAAGAGAGAGAGAGAGATTGGCGTGTGCAGCCAATCTTCGCCTGCAGCATTGTTCTCTTCGGCCTAAATGGCATCCTTTTTTCTCCATTTCATCATATCCAGCACGCCTTAATAACAACGCGACACACCCTGCTGTTAGATTTGATAATGAGGCAGATGAATAATAGAATATAGCCTACAGTACATCAGACAGAAACCTTGCGTTTCGGCTGCTTGGGACTTTATTTCAAGTGAAAGTTTAATAACGATAGGCCCACTCAGAACAGTCGATAAATTCCAGGAGGATCAAGTAACACTGATTCAGACGCAATTAATAATGTGAAAGGGCCTTCACTACACAACCAAAATCATTTATTCACACTTTCAGGAGCCTCAAGTACACAATGAAATCAACATGGTAGCTGGTGGTGGATGATTTAAAGAAGGTTTTGTTTCCCCCCTCTTACAGAAACACCATATTATTGTTACATAGAGAGAACCATTGGGCTGAAGCAGGCATATAAATATATGTACACAGTATTAAATGCATTTAATATTTAACTAGTGAGGAGGGCTGAAAGACACATATTGATTGTGGAGAATGAAGATGCTCGATTATTATAGGGATTAATTTTTGATTTAATAATATTTACACATATATTGCATTTACATTTAAACAGACAGGGAAGCTGTAGAAGATGGAAAATTTTCTTGGATGATACACCTTCTTAATATAACGACTAAGCAAATTCAGCTAATTTATGGGAATAAATTTTAAAAAACTGTATGGAAAAAATAGGCTTAATCTTTAATGTATTTAATGTCTGACATGATGGGAAAAAACTGTCTCAAACAAAATGGTTTTATCATCATATGAAAGACCTTCCAAATCATTCACCCTGATGCAAACTGTTATTATTAACCAATAACTGGACAATAGAGTTCCTGTTTGATGTGTGCACAGTTCACCCAGTTGGTTTTTATTCTTTGTATCACATCTTGAAATGTGGGATTCTTTGAAATCAGAACCAAGGAGACCTCATGCAAAGTGTGTACACAGCTGAAACCACCCTCTATGAACAAAGGTGCAAAATATTCTGTGCAGTTCTCCCTGAGGTAGCATTCAGCGAAAGCTTTATCCAGTGAAACTTTTCCACAGAAAAAAACACATTTGCATGATTTCCAACCAAGCAGACATTTCAATCTGTCATTTGAGCAACGCTGATCCAAATACTCAGTGAATGCTTGCTGGTTTATACTTTTGTGCACTCTTTTCTGTCACCAAAATGTTCATATGTTTTCTGAAACAAGATTTTTTTTTCCAAGGTCCAACTTCATTTTTAATAAATGCATTTTTTTAAGTATCTTGTTGCTTTTTGATGAAATATGACTTGATGCATCATTACTGTAAAAACTAATATTTTTGTTGCAGAACTTAAAGAGCAAATCTTGTATTGATACTTTATTAAGCAGTAATGTACTATTAACACGACTATAAAATCTTGCAGTTCAGTGACAGACATTGGTGTAGCATTCAGATCTTGGATCAGTTTTTTTT